TCCTGAAACAGAGTCTAAACAGGGCATGTTACTTTCCAAATTAAAACAGAAATGTGAGACATCATGGCTGATCCAGATGGGAAGGAAAGACTCGGCAAAAGAACTCTCGAAGTATGAAGAATCAACTAGAAAGCACACCCCCAAAGAGGAACACCAGGTCTCTACCAATGCATATTAACCAAATTCAGAAGACTAAAATAACAGAACAGTAATTTCAAACATGGATTGTTAGAAAACTCAATGATATGCAAGAAAAAATGGATAACCAACACACAAAACACACACACGCACCAAAAAAAAAATCCAGGACCTGGTAGAAAAATTCACTAAAGAAATTGGAATATTAAAGAAATATCAAACTGAACTCTTAGAAATAAATAACTTAGTCAAGGAGCTACAAAACACAGTGGAAAGCCTCAAGAACAGGGTACATCAACCAGAAGAAAGAATCTCAGGGATTGAAGATAACACCTTCCAATTAAATAAGTCAGTCACAGAGACAGAGCATAGAAATAAGAGAAAACAGCAAAACCTACAAGAAATGAAGGATTAGGTGAACAAGCCTTAAGTGAGAGTTATGAGAAGTCATGAGGGTGAAGAAGAAAATATACAAGAGTTGGATAAGCTATTTGAAGATATAATAGAGGAAAATGTCCCATGCCTTGCTAAAAATCTACATATCCAGGTACAAGAAGCTCAAAGGACTCCTTGGAGATTCATTACAAACAGGAAGACACCATGACATCGAGTCATCAGTGGACCAATATATCCACTAAAGTGATCCTTCTACAAGCCATAAGGTGAAAGGAACAAGTAACATACAAAGGAAAGCCCATCTGAATAATGCCAGACATCTCAACTGAAATCTTACAAGCAAGGAGAGACAGTAGCCCCATTCTCATTCTTCTGAAACAGAATAATGCCCAGCTAGAATCTTGCACCCTGAAAAATTTAATTTTGTATATGAAGGGGAAATAAAGACATTCTGAGATAAGCAAACACTGAGGGAATTCAACAAGACAAGACCAGCACTCCAAGAAGTATTCAAAACAGTGTTATCTTAAAGATGCATCTCTTAAAAATTTTAAAAAATAGAAATTATACCATGCATCTTTTCAGATCACAGTGGAATAAAATTAGAAATCAACCCTAATAAGAGTAATCATTTCTACTCAAAGTCATGGAAACTAAACAACCTTCTGCTGAACGATTATTTCATAAATGAGGAAATCAAGATGGAAATCAAACGATTCTTTGAAATAAATGACAAGGAGACACAAGTTATGAAAATCTGTGGGACACAGTTAAAGCAGTTCTGAGAGGAAAGTATATCTCCATAAATGCCTATATCTAAAAGACAGAGGCCGGGCGAGGTGGCTCACGCCTGTAATCCTAGCTCTCTGGGAGGCCGAGGCGGGTGGATTGCTCGAGGTCAGGAGTTCGAAACCAGCCTGAGCAAGAGTGAGACCCGTCTCTACTATAAATAGAAAGAAATTAATTGGCCAACTAATGTATATAAAAAAAAAATTAGCTGGGCATGGTGGCGCATGCCTGTAGTCCCAGCTACTCGGGCGGCTGAGGCAGAAGAATTGCTTGAGCCCAGGAGTTTGAGGTTGCTGTGAGCTAGGCTGATGCCACGGCACTCACTCTAGCCTAGGCAACAAAGCGAGACTCTGTCTCAAAAAAAAAAATAAATAAATAAATAAAAGACAGAAACATCACAAATACACAACCTAATGAATCGTCTTAAAGAGCTGGAAAAAGATGAACAGACCAAACACAAATCCAGCAGAAGAAGTGAAATTAATAAGACCAAGTCAGAAATTAACAAAATTGACAACAAAACAGTATGCGGAAGATAAATGAAACGAAAAGTTGGTTCTTTGAAAACATAAACAAAATTGACATGTCCTTAGCTAGACTAACGAAAAGGAGAAAAGATAAAACTCTAATAAGCTCCATGAAGAATGAAAAAGGAGAAATTACAGCTGATGCCATACATATAAGGTATCATCTATAAATACTACAAAATCCTTTATACACATGAACTGGAGAACGTGGAGGAAAAAGACAAATTTTTGGAAACACACAACCTGCCTAGCCTCAACCAAGAAGAAACAGAATTTCTGAACAGACCAATATTAAGTACTGATATTGAAACAGAAATAAAACACCTTCCTAAAAAGAATAGTCCCAGACCAGATGGTTTCACACACAAATTTTACCACACCTACAAAGAAAAATTGGTGCCTACCCTGCAGAAATTATTCCACAACATCGAGAAGTATGGAATCCTCCCAAACACATTTTATAAAGGCAATATAACCCTGATACGAAAACCAGGAACGAATGCAACAAAAAAAGAAAACTACAGGCCAATATCCCTTACGAATACAGACACAAAAATTCTCAACAAAATCCTAGAAAACCAAATCCAGGTGATTATCAAGAAAATAATCCATCACAACCAAGTGTGCTTCATCCCAGAGATGCAGGGATAGTTCAACACACAAAAATCTATAAATATAATTCACCACATAAATAGAAGGAAAAAAAAGATCATATGATCCTCTCAACAGACACAGAAAAAGCATTTGGCAAAATTCAACACCCTTTTATGATAAGAACACTTAACAAAATAGGCATAGACAGGGCTTACCTAAAAATGATACAAGCCATATATATGACAAGCCCACAGCCAACATCACACTGAATGGGGAAAAACTGAAAGCATTCCCCTTAGAATGGGAACCAAACAAGGTTGTCCACTATCTCCACTAATGAATCGTCTTAAAGAGCTGGAAAAAGATGAACAGACCAAACACAATTCAACAAACTGCTGAAAGGCCATGTTAGAGCAATTAGACAAGAGAGCGGAATTAATGGCGTCCACATGGGGGTAGAAGAGATGAAACTCTCACTCTTTGCTGATGATATGATATAATATCTAGAAAACCATAAGAAATCAACCAAGAGACTCCTAGAATTGATAAATTAATTCAGTAAAGTCTCAGGATACAAAATCAATACACACAAATCAGAGGTATTCACATACGCCAATAACAGTCGAACTGAGAACCAAATCAAAGACTCAATACCCTTCACAATAGCAACAAAGAAAATAAAGTATCTAGGAATATATTTAAGTAAGTAGGTGACAGACCTCTACAGGGAAAACAATGAAACACTGAAGAAGGAAATAGCCAAGGACATAAACATATGGAAAACCATACCATGCTCGTGGGTCGGCAGAATCAACATTGTTAAAATATCTATACTACCCAAAGTGATCTACGGATTCAATTAAATCTCTATTAAAATACCAACATCATTTTTCATAGATACAGAAAAAATAATTTTACACTTCGTATGGAACCAGAAAAGACCTTATATAGCAAAAGCAATCCTAGGCAAAAAGAATAAAATGGGAGGCATCAATTCACCAGATTTCAAACTATACTACAAGGCTATAGTAATTAAAACAGTATGATATTAGCCAAAGAAAAAGAGGTAAAGACCTATGGAACAGAACTGAGAACCCAGATATAAAACCATCCTCATATAGTCATCTAATCTTTGACAAAGCAGACAAAATCATACACTGGGAAAAAGAATCCTTACTGAATAAATTGTGCTAGGAAAACTGGATAACCACATCTAGAAGACTGAAACAGGATCCACACATTTCATCTCTCAGAAAAATCGAGTCAGGCTGGGTAACAAATTTAAACCTGAGGTGTGAAACTATTAGAATCCTAAAGGAAAACATTGGAAATACTCTTCTAGGCAAGGAATTTATGAAAAAGATCCCAAAGGCAATCACATCATCAACAAAAATTAATAAATGGGATCTGATCAAATTAAAAAGCTTTTGCTCAGCCAAACAAACTATCACGAGAGCAAACAGACAACCTATAGACTGGGAGAAAATATTCACATGCTACACATCCGATAAACAGCTGATAACTAGAATCTATTTAGAACTCAGGAAAATCAGCAAGAAAAAAACCAAACAACCCTATCAAAAAGTGCGCAAAGGACATGAACAGAAACTTTTCAAAAGAACACAGAATAATGGCCAAGAAACATATGACAACATGCTCAACATCTCTAATCATCAGGGAAATGCAAATAAAAAACACAATGAGATATCACTTATCTCCAGTGAGAATGGCCTTTATCAAAAAGTCCCCAAACAATAAATGTTGGCATGGATGAGGAGAGACAAGAACACTCCTACACAGCTTGTGGGAGTGCAAACTAGTACAACCTCTGTGGAAAGCAATATGGAGATACCCTAAAGCGATACAAGTAGATCTACCATTTGACCCAGCAATCCCATTATTGGACATCTACTCAAAAGAACAAAAGACATTCTATAAAAAAGACATATGCACTTGAATGTTTATAGCAGCACAATTCACAACTGCAAAGATGTGGAAAGAACCCAAGTGCCCATCAATACATGAGTGGATTAATAAAATGTGGTATATGTATACCATCGAGGAGTATTCAGCTATAAGACACAATGGTGATATAGTAGAGCTGGAACACATTCTACTAAGTGAAGTATCCCAAGAATGCAAAACAGGCACCACATATACTCACGAGCAAATTGGTTTCACTGATCAACAACTAAGTGCACATACAAGAATAACATTTATCAGGTGTCGGCCAGATGGGAGTGGGAAGGATGGGATGGGTATATTCATACATAATGAGTGCGATGCGCACCATCTGGGGGATGGATAGGCTTGAAGCTCTGACTGGGGGGGTGGGTTCGGCAAGGAGGGGAAGGCGGGGCAAGGGCAACATACGTAACCTAAACATTTGTACCTCCATAATATGCTGAAATAAAAAACAAAAACAAAACAAAAAGATGAGGATGTTCACAGGGAAAATATATTTGCTAGAGCTATACAATAGGATAATAAATTTATTTTTAAAATAATAGGAGCAATAATTGCTTTAAAAGTAGTAATAAAATAGATACAACTTACTTGTTTACTTATAAAAATGTTATAATCCATTGGGTATTTTTCTGTGTTTTTGTTATGGTTGGTAAAAATTGGAAATTCATTGTTTTCTTTCCCTAATTTATAAAGAAGATGCTGAAATTCAATTGTGTATTCCAGAGGCTCAATTCCGTAAGACACATTTTCAAATTGCAGTATTCCTCTGTAAAATTAACAAAAAAATTTTAAGTGCTTTTAATCAAATCTATATTATGAAACTCTGACAAAATTCAGAAAAAGAAGTGACAAAGATATAAAACATTTTGAGTCCAGTATTTTGATCCAACCTCTGTCTTAGAGAGGATTCGGAAGAGACAAAATATTATCCTAATCTACAAAACCAACTTTCCATTTCTTTTTTTTTATAGTTACAAAAGCAGTAGAAATTACCTTATCAATTGCTAAATGTACAAGCATATACTATTACAGTGATCAAGTATTAATAATTCCTCTGTTTTTCAAGTCAGTGACTTAACTATCTTAAACATAGCTCCTCCCACACTCTTGTAGTAAATCAAGTTTAATTCTCATTTCTGTGGTTATGAAAAAAATAACAGAGCAAAGAAGACAGGAAATCTAAACCTTTGAGAGAATTAGAAATGTCTCTGTCAGTGAAAAAAGTGAGGAAATACAAGAGAATTAGAAACATGTTCAGAGGAAGATATCATTGAATAATCTACACATAGGAATCCTCCTCCAGCTCCACACTTAATATGAACAGAACAAATTCACAGCAGCCAAATAGCATAACTATGGTGTTTCGTAATCAATGGTGGAAAATAAAAAACCTCAGTCCAGAACACGTGCTGAGTGTGACAACAGAATTCAGATATCCTTCGATATTTCCTTGATAGAAGCATTGAGTCTAGGAAAGAAAAAAATGTATGGTTACTTAGGAATTAACAAAATGTTATAATGATTTCCTACTTCTATGCTTGACAGAAACCTCCTGAATGTTTTTGACAGGCTACGTTGTGGTCTATATCAGCATGAGTAAAGTGACATGCAGAAAGTCTCCCCGTATCTGCCACTTTCACTATATTAACTACTCTTTTTAGACTATGACTTGGGATTACTATTTTATACTCTGCATCCAAAGCATTACTTCATGTTACATAAAATAATTTTCCATTATACAAATTTAGTTCACTGACTAAAAGACAAAGATCTAAAATACAGATTTTAGATCTGTATTTCTTTAAAAATCTAATATGCCGCTAAAAAGGAACATATAAAAATATAATGCCACAGAATACTGAAGGGCTGGATGCCAACACAAACAAAAGGATGATTCTGAAGCTATATTGATACGGAAACGTGGACTTTAAGGCAAGAAGCACTACTAGAGATAAAGATGGAAATTTCATGATATGGGTTTTTCAATTCATCAGGAAGATACAAATATTCCAAACTGATTTTAACTTAATAACACAGCTTCAAAATATATAAAGCAAAAATTAAAAGAATAGTAAAAATAGAAAAATATATAATTATAAAAGAGATTTTTAAACCTAATTTTTCTCAGTAACTGATAAAATCATGGATTCAAAATCTACAGAAGGTTGGAACAACATGGTTAGTAAATGACCTAATTAATACATGTAGAACACTATACGTAAAATCTTTAAAATACACTTTCTAAAGATACATAGAATATTTATAAAAATGAAATCATATTCTGGGCCATAAAGTGCGACTCAACATGTTTCAACAGACTGAAACTGTACAGTTTGGACTCTGACCACTGTACAATCAAGCTAGAGATATAGAGAGTACTAAACGTCTCAGAAATAAAGATTATATAATGTTTAAGATTCAATAGTTTTATAAATTTGATATAAATAAATATAAGATTTGTTAGAAAAACACACTGTTTTATGATGGAACTAAGGGCAGGAAGAAGGGCCAATAAAGGGAAATGATAGTCCTATCCAATTTAAGTAAAGCGACATAGTACCCAATTTAATATTTCTATAAAATTTTAATATATGCTGAGTGCTAGGCACTTTTCTAGAAACTGGTTTTACAGCAATGAATAATACAGCACAAAAGCCCACAGGAAGATTATAGTGCACTGGAGAGACAGAAAATAAATAGATAAAATGTATGGTAGATCATATACTGATAACTGCCATGGGAAAAGCATAACAGGTAAAGGAAATATAGAGAGTATTAGGGTAAGAGAGCAATTTAAAATAGGGGCTAGTCAAGGACTGATAGAGTGATTTTGAGGACAGAACTGAAGAATATGAGGGAAAAAGACATGTGGGTCTCTTGGGAAAGAACAAGCATTTGGATCCCATGAAATAGAAAGCATGAAGACTTTGGAAGGAGAACATGCTGATATGTTTAAAGAACCGCAAGGACAGACACCAGTGTGGCTGGAACCAAGTGAGTGAGGGAGAGAGCAACAGGAAGAGCTCAGAGAGGTAAAGGGAGCCGGACTGTGCGAAGCCTGAAAGACACTGGAATCGCTCTGGCCGCCACTTTCTGGTGAGGGGAGGACATCCCATGGAGGGTTCTGAGCAGAACGTGATCTGACTAGATTTAACAGGATCAAACTGGTTTCCATGTTGAGAACTGACCAAGGGGATGGACAAGGTGTGGAAGCTGTGGTGATAATCCACACTGGATATGGGGTTTCCTTGGGAATGGACAGGATCAGTGGATGGAGGCAGAGGAAGAGGCTAAATTCTGGATACACAGTTTGAAGGGCAGGGTCAATCGGATTCATTGATTGACCATTGATGGATGGGATGGGAGAGTAAAAAAAGATTTCTGATCTGTAATTTGTGTCCAATAACATTTGTATCTACTTTTTTTATTCTTTAATTTAGATTCATTCATTTAACGAAATATAAAAAATAAGGAAATAAATAGTGCCTATGTTCCAGGCAGTGTTAAAGGTGTTAGGTCAATTTAATTTGTCTTTAATTTACCAAGAATTCAGGAAAGCCTAGTCATTAATCAATAAATACCTTAAATATATCCCCTGTGAATCCTGATAGCCTTCTGTATTAAGAAACCCAGATATGAAACCATCCTCATATAGCCATCTGATTTTTGAGAAAGCAAACAACAATATACAGGGAATAGAACCCGTATTTAGTAAATGGTGCTGAGAAAATTGGATAGCCACATGCAGAAGACTGGAACAGGATCTGCATCTCTCACCTCTCACAAAAATCAAATGATGATGGATAACAGATTTAAACCTAAGGAACACAATCATAAGAATTCTATAAGAAAACATTGGAAAAACTCTTACAGACATCAGCCTAGGCAAAGAATTTATGAAGAAGACCCCAAAAGCAATCATAACAACAACAACAAAAATAAATAGGACCCGATCAAATTAAAAAGCTTCTGCACAGCCAAGGAAACTATCATTAGAGTGAACAGACGACCGATAAAATGGGAGAAAATATGTGCATGCTATAAATCTGATAAAGGGCTGATAACTAGAATCTATAAAGAACTCGAGCAAATTGGCAAGACGAAGTCAAACAACCCATTAAAAAGTGAGTGACTAGGGGATGGTCATGATGGAGACTCAGACTTTTGGGGGGAGGGGAGAAATGGGCATTTATTGAAACCTTAAAATCTATACCCCCATAATATGCCAAAATAAAAAAAAAATAAAAAAAAATTAAAAAATAAAAAAAAAGTGAGTGAAAGACTTGAACAGAAACTTTTCAAAAGAATATAGACTAATGGGCAACAAACACATTAAAAAATGCTCAACATCTCTAAACATCAGGGAAATGCAAATCAAAACCACCTAACTCCAATGAGAATGGCTTTTATCAAAAAGTCACAAACAACAAATGTTGATGTGGATGCAGAGAGACAGGAAACCTCATACACTGCTGGTGGGACTGCAAACTAATATAACCTCTATGGAAAGTAGTATGGAGATACCTCAAAGAACTAAAAGTAGAACTACCATTTGATCCAGCAATCCTACTACTGGGTATTTATCCAAAGGAAAAAAGGACATTCTATAAAAAAGACCCCTGCACTCGAATGCTTACAGCAGCACCATTAACAATCTAAGAGATGTGGAAACAACCAAAATGCCCATGAATACATGAGAGGATTAATAAAAATGTGGTATATATGTACCATGGAGTCCGTAAAAATGGTTGAATACCTCTTGTATTAACTTGGCTGGAACTGGAGACAGTTATTCAAGTGAAGTATCACAAGAATAGAAAAACAAATACCACATGTACTCAATACTAAATTAGAACTAATCAATCAACACTTATGTGCACATATGAAAATAACATTCATTGGAAATCAAGCAGGTGGGAGGGGGATGAGGGGATGAGTAAATTCACAACTAATGGGTACAATACACACTATCTAGGTGATGGGCACACTTATAACTTTGACTCAAAAAGTACAAAAGCAATTTATGTAACCAAAACATATGTACCTATAATATTCTTAAATTTAAAAAAATAAAGTAAATAAAAACATAAAATGAAAGTACTTATTTAATGTAAAAAGTGTTTTTAAAAAATCTTTAAAACATAGAACTTAAATCTTACCTCAATATTTGAAGACTGAGAATTCACAGATCCTTGATTATATAAATAAACCATAAAATTATCTGCTACAAAATATCTGAATATAAAAAAGAGTGAGAAAATGTTTTAAATAATTCTTTTTGAAACATATAAAGCAACAGTCAGTAAATTGACACTTTAAGCTAAACTCTGACCCACCCTATGTTTTTCTTTTTTTTTTTTTATTTCGGCATATTATGGGAGTACAGATTTTAAGATTTCAATAAATGCCCTTTCACCCCCTTCCCCCAGAAGTCTGAGTTTCCAGCATGACCATCCCCCAGATGGTGCACATCTCACCCACCCTATGTTTTGTAAATAAAATTTTATTGGAACACAGCCATACTCATCCACTTACATATTATCATGACTGTTTTCTTGCTACAAGAGCAGAGAGGTTGAGTGGTTTTGACAAAAACCATATGGCCCTCAAAGCCTAAAATATTTACTATCTGGACCTTTAAAGAAGTTTCTCAACCTCTGCCATAAAGGTAGTATTTTCTTTACACAAAAATTTAATTTTTACAGAAACCAATACACATTTACTCAAAATAGTTTTCCTAACTGAATAGACCCCTTTAAAGAAAATAAGAAGGTACTGTAAGAAAGACAAAGATTTTAAAATTTAAAAGATATGAACTGGATGTATGATTATGAGACTTTTCTTACATTCTTTCTAAGTTTTCCTACCACACATATATATTACATGCATATATTATAATGAAGTGGAAGATTATTATGTAAAAGTCATATTAATCTGAGCATATGTACTGACACTTCAAGTCTAAGTTCAACTATGCTATATCATCCCTATACTTATTATGTTATTTTAGTTATGCTGCCTCACTTCATGCTCACTCTTCAACCCAAGGTAACTTAACTCAATGCCCCAGATTAGCTTCTGTTGGGAAGCTGCCATGAAAACTGATCTCACAAAGGCTACTATTGACCTCCCAGCTGTCAACTCCAAAGGGCAGTTTGAAGCCAAGTAAAAATACTCTGAAGCACTTCAAACCCATCCCTTTCTTTAAACCATCTCTTCCTCAGTGTAAATGATACCACTTCCTCCTGGTTTCCTTTATGTGTTTCCTTCTAACTTTATGAAGTCCCTTTACTGGGATCCTTCCTGCATCCCTAAAATGTTTCCGTGGCATTCAATACTAGGCTGTTGTTCCTTCTCACCTTTAACACACCCCACCTCTATAGATTTATATTGTTCATTTCTGTGGCTTCATTCACTACCTATATAAGAGATGGCCTGAATTACTATAGCTCTGTGGTTTATTTTGACGTCAGATAGTGTGAGCCTCCAGCTTTGTATTTTTTGGCCAAGATTACTTTGGCTATTCATGGTCTTTGGTAATTCCATAGGAATTTTAGATTATTTTTCTATTTCTGTGAAAAATGTCACTGGAATTTTGATGGGTTTGTATTGAATCTGTAGATTACTTTGGACAGTATGTGCATTTTAACCATATTAATTCTTTCAATCATGAACATGAGATATCTTTCCACTGATGTCTTCCTGAATTCCTTTCATTAATGTTCTGTAGTTTTCAGTGCACAGTTCTTTCACATTCTTGGTTAAATTTATTCCTAAGTATTTTATTTTGTAGCTATTATAAATGGATTGTTTCTTGATTTCTTTTTTGGATAGTTTATTATTAATTTATAGAAATGCTACTGATTTGTGGATGTTGATTTTATATCCTACAACTTTACTAAACTCATTTATTGGTCTAACAGTATTTTGGTAGAGTTTCAGGGATTTTATATATTTCATATATATGTATATTCATATATAAAAGATCATGTCATCTGCAAACAGGAAAAATTTAACATCTTTCCTTCCTATTAGGATGACTTTCATTTCTTTTTCTTGCCTAATTGCTCTGGCTAGAACTTCCAATACTACCTTAAATATAAGTGGTGAGAGTGGGCATCTTTCTCTTGTTCCTGATATTAGGTGAAAAGCTTCAACTCTTCATCACTGAGTATGATGTTAGCTGTGGTGCTGTCATATATGACTTTACTGGGTTGTACATTCCTTCTATATCTCATTTGTTGAGAGTTTTATAATGAAAGAATGCTGAAACCACACTTTTTCCCATGTTCTAAACTAAATTAACTGCCTACTGGACATTTTCCCTGGGATGTCCACAAATACATCATAACCAGCTTCTTTAAGAATGAGCCCATATTTCCCTAGATTCAGATATATTCTTCCCTCCCTCTACCCTGCCAAATCCTTACTACCACTAGGTTTAATCTATTAATAAATCTTTTATTCTGCCACATCAGCATTTCTCACAACAAAATTCCTTATTTTATATAGTCATAGTTCTGTTCCCATTATTTCTTATATAAAGCTATTTGCGATAACTTTCTAATTGTCATTAGGCTGTCATAAAACTATGCAGGTAATGTCCCCCCTAAAACAAGAGCCCCCGCGCCGCGCCG